AACTTAAAGAAAAAGCAAGCGAATCTGTATCTTATAAATTAGTCATTAAAAAAGATGAAATTATTTAATTATAACATTGTTTTCATCCCACTAAAATTCTTAACTATCTTGAAATGTACACCAGCCAAATTGAGAAAAAGAAATCAGAATCCGTTTTTAGGAATATTTACAGATATCACTACTGCATGTCAGATTAGTTGTGATAATGAATTCCTATCGAAATGTAAATAATCAATTGTTTCATATTAGATATAGTACCGGAACATTTCTTACTGACTGAATCCTTGTCCAAAAAATGTCAGATGAGAAACTTTCGACTAAAAAGCATTTTAGACACATACATCGACTGGTTTATGGAGGCGTTTAGTATTGACGAAACAAAGGTAGCCTTTATTCCATTCGCTTTCTGTTAAAGGAGATATATGCTATTATACTTTTAATATTTCATGAAATTAAAGCATACTTGTTTAAAAGCCAAACAGACAATACTTACATGACATATGAGTGCTTCACTACATAATATATATGTGAACCAAGCAAAGCATATCTACATCATACCTTTTTAACTGATTATTAGAAGGGAAGAAAAGCCTAGGGATTTATAAATGACTATATAAATATATAACTTAAAAGGTATAGTACAAACAGTTGTCTACCTGTTACACTTAATAATTAGGTAAATTATTGTATCAACGTTATTTGAGAAATTGGGAATATTTGGAAAAGATTCTATTAGAAAAACAGATAAATAATATCATGCGTAAAAACAGATATAAACCAACAAATGTATATAGTTTACTTTATAAAGTTATAGTATACCGCTGAGATGTGCTAATTAATCAGAGCATACAATATTAAGCACGACTCCGTTTCCTATTGTTCGACAATATATATAGCATGCAAACATTTCAGCTATCAGAAATCGCCCTTCCTTATCAGACTGGTTGGTTAGTATAGATTAGTCCATTTAAAAAGTGTGGAAAAAAGCTGAGGTCACATTTAAAGGACCAAAGAAGCTTTTTATTTGATTGTCAACTACATGTATATTACCATATCGCCATTCATGGACACACAAACAAATATGAAAGATACTAGTGGGTAGATGATCTCTGGAAGTTTATCTTTATAAGCCATCATAAAGTACTTAATTATGAATACATAAAATTGTATGTAAAAATCATACTGCAAAGTCTCGGACTGTTTATAAGAGCTACGGTTTACGTGACAGAAAACTTAACTAAAATAACTGTTTTCTTGTATTTGGAAGAGGACCATGGGGAAAGATGGAATCCCATTGTTATGAGAACATAAGAACTTAAAGATAGTAGTCCATCCAGACTCAACCAAAACTACTTCCATGTCAGATTAATTCAATAATGTCGACTTTGTAGATACTAACAAAGTATGTCAACATAGCCGTACACCTGAAACTCTTGTTTTATGACTATATTACTTATTAGTAATCAGTGTTAATCCTCTTTTTCTTGTACCTCGTCCGTTACATTGATTATCCACAAATTGACTATACTCTTATTGGTTGAAATGCATTTTGCTTGAACGGCTATTTTGAACCTGTCATATTTAAGTATAACTGCTTTGTAATTGACTGCTGTTGTTTTTTATTGCCTTGAATGTACGCCCGACTTACGTTAATTATGATTTATTGTCGCAATATTTATATTTATGTATATATTTATATAAACGTTTCAGAGTAACCAAAACAGTTTTCTGACTCATATATACCCCAGGTACGTTATCCTAGTGGACCTGACAGTTATTTAATTTGCATCAGTAACAAAATCACGATGAAACACCAGAATTATCCATGCAGTCAGAAAAGGAAGATTCTAAAGTGGAAAATTGTACAAAAATAAAAGCAATTAGAACTGGGATTAAACAAGCTAAGGGGAGATCTTGGGAAATGGAATTCGCTGCAGAAACTTCAACACGAAGGAAATCATCCTGACTCCTATAATAATAGTATAATTAAAATATATGATGAACCTATGTCAAAGGCAGTACCAAACCGCGTCGAACGTTATTTAGGGTTATATAAGAAGTACGGAAGTTTGACGGCAATCTAACTGAATACCGGCCCTCCATGAAAGGATTTCAGAAAGCTGTTAAAGAAAAAACGAAGGGAGATTCTGAGAAACTTGATTATCTAACTTAGCTTAGTACTGGAAGAACTAAGAAAGCGACCGAACATTAAGTCATAATGGACGGATTCAGAGGGTTTTGGGTTAACTGGATATATTTTAAAAAAAGATCTGAACAAAACTACATAGTCATTAGGTCCTTAACAGAAGAAATAGTAAAAACACCACCGATTAGAAGCGGTGATTTGATGACTTTCTGATTTAGGACAGAAAATGCAAGCATGCAGAACCAAGTTATAACAACCAGGCTACAAACCTGATCTGGATGCTAACAGAACTCTAGAAACTATAATCTCACGTTTACCTTCGAACTTTAGATTTGAGTGCACAGTATTATGCGTATAGTACATGAGTTAAGGCAGGGAATTTAATTTAGATCTAGCTAAATTTGTAGAAGAATGAGTGGATATCGTAATTACAAGATACAGAAAATTAGCTATTAGCTTGAAATCAGGTAAACAAGTTATAAGATTTTTAACTCATACATCATTCGGCATAAAGAAAAATATTTTCGCTTCTCAGTATGCTTCTGTTAATAGCCAATGTGGTTTATACTAATGCCTGTCGACATAAATAGCATATAACACCAATAAGAATTGGAATGCCTGATAGCGAAAGGTAAAGATTGAAACGAGAAAAGAGGAGGAAACTGAAAGCAATCAAGATAACAATAGGAGCGAAGGAACAATGAAGCTGGTAAGAAACAATCCGAAAACGATATGTAAATGAGATGTATTTGATGTATGATTTCCACATTTTCCTAAACCACTGTGATTGTGTATCAAACCATAAATTGCTTATCCCCACTTGACTTCTCATCCTCTACCATATCAACAGTGAAACCGCTACCCTGACCAGTGTGCAACACTGCATGCAATAAAAATTCGGGAAAGAGTGACAACAATTAGAGACAGAAAGTTATATCACTTGCATATAAAAACTAAGCGTATGGCTAGAAGTTTTCGACTTCAAAGAGTATGTACAATCGAACGCTTTTGCAGGTGACATCAAACAATGTTACATAAAACTAATGACGTTTGCCAGCCTGATCCTGATGTCGGTACTAATCACTTTTCAGAATATCGACGTACGAGTAAAGATGAAGCAGCGACGGGAGAACCAAGAGTATCTCTGGCGATAATACTGGTTTATATAAATGTCTCTGAGTAATCAAAACAGTCTTCTGACTCAAATAGAGTTTGGGTGTGTCATTTTATTGAATCTGACATTAACTCCAAAGGTATTAAAAAGACAATGTCGTTATCCATATCTTTCCCATAATGGAAGTAGACAGCCCGTGTCAAACTAACAACTAATGAGCCTACTTATTTTACTTATAAAGGTGATAAAAAAAATGACTCACGATCAGTTGCCTAGTCATAAGGAATCGCAATCTGTTGGCTCTAGAGTAACAGGATTTGTTCAAGATATTGCTGTCAGGCTGCTCTACAGATAGCTTTTAACTTATTAAGAGCTAACTGAGAATACATTAATATCTACCCATAATTATCTACTAAGACGCCTAAGTTAATAGAAATTACAAAACCAATAATCAGGAACAACATCGAGTGGTTTTTGAGACGACAGAAAAGTTAATGATATTTAGAAGGAAAATTAGTGGGATCCAATAAAACTAAAACACCCGCGGAATTTCAGCATGACAAGTATTTTTTCAGCTAACTTGTAAGTATTTAAGACTTATATTCAAATAACTATCTGTATATGTATGAACATCAATAATGCAAATCACTCTCCTACTCTTAACTAAATTCCTATAGCTAATTGGTAACCATGATTGCTTACTTTAGCCTTTTGCTCTAACTCTAAACCCTTGCCCTAATACCGTTAACCCTGAATCTTAACTTCACTCATTCTTCGTTCACCATAATAGATGACAATATGGAAATGTATGACAAACATGTCAGGACAGTATTCATTATAATTTTGCTTTTTTACTACAAATTATTTTATCAGTAAACACTGCAATGTAACATCTGTTAAAGGATTTTGCGTGTTATGATTGCATCACATAGCCTTCAAATGCTTTAAACAAGATAAGTTTCTACTTTTATAACGCACTCATATGATGCCTCATCTAGAATACAGCATCCCTGCAGTCAGTTCACTTCTCATTATAGACGATGAAAATACAGATTAAACAAAAAAACAGGAACTAAGCTAGTGGGAAATTTTTCTAATCTCTCCTGCGAGGAGAGGTTGGAAAATTCAGATCGCCTTTATTTTGTTGTACCATGTTGTATATATTATGGATTAAATTTTTGGCTTAAAGGTTCAAAGAGTGATCCCATAGGATAACATGATTTCAGCCTAGGCGGATGGATAGGACCTTAAACAAAAAACAAGTATGACACTTAATAATTATGAAAAACTAGGTCATCTAGTAAGATTTAAGACGACCAGTATAACTGCTATTAGGTACGTTTTCCCACCTTGACGATACTTGATTTTCCAAATATATGAAGCATATATCTTCGACACCAAATTTAAGATATTATAATTGATTTATTACATATTTTAAACGTCCATGTAATTAAACATTTCCGATATCCAATAGTGATTCTTTCACAATCCGAGCTCCCAATTTTGGGGAAAATTTGACCCATTTTAGGGAAGCCGCTATAGTAATAATAATTAATTATTGCTTTATAAGTATTTGAGTAAAAAAGACCCAATTTCCTGAGTATAGGTGGGAAACGTAGCTGCTTGATGCTGCTAATACTGAAAGTCAAGGTCGAATAGCTGCATAGCTAAAATCTACATGCATGTTGAGGTTATATCGTTGCAAATTTTATCAATGAAGAATACTTGTTAGGAACTCACTGGAATTTCAACTAGTTGAACAACATCTCCAGTCCTAATACGACAGTTCTGTCAAGAACGAATTAATGAAGCGTTTTTCTAACCTCTTCAGTCGTATAATATTCAATTGTACCCGAGTGTTCTGTTTTACGAAAACAGTAATTGGAGGTTTCGGATTGAGGTATACCAAACCTGTGAAATTCGTAAAGAAGGATAGCATCACGTACTGCTGCGAAACCTTGTAAATAATATCATCGTACACAGTTGGCTAAGGAAAAATCCATTATTATGACTACTTTGTCTTACACACTCAAACGTGAAGAGCTGACCACTCCCCTCAAACTCCACACCAAATTTCAAAAAATTTTGAGATGACATTGGGATAATGTTTCTTGATAGATACTACTTTACCTGCTGACATGAAATCGAGGCCATTTAAGTCCGTTAACAAGGTTGTACGAACATCTTCAGAGTAGCTTTAGAGCAGTCAAACAACCACCACAATACAACTATGTGGCTGAATCAAAAAGTTCAATAACTGACTCTGAATGCCGGATTATGGGAATATTTTATGACCAAAAGCGATGATGTCATATAACTGGAATTGTCAAAGAATTAATGAGAGTTAAATGAACATGTTTTACCGTAACTCCATAGGCGCATCCTCTTATTTGGTCAAAATCTGTTAACGCATCCTAGATAAAAGAAGGGTGTAATTTCTAGTTGCTCATAGCTTGAGCATACTGATCTTGGAAGAGCGAGGTACGAAAATAAGCGTAACCCAGTAAGAATACGGGATGTGTTTACATACTATGGTGAGAACATTAAGTACCAATAAGCATTTATCCATGAAAGAGATTAGGGCACGTTTTAATTTACAATTGAGTTGTTGGGCATGAGACTAAATTAGTTACAAGTCTGACTCTTCAATTGTTCTTACCCAACAGAATCATGGATATAGATTGAGTATTGTTTGAATTTAGCTTATTAAAGCTCAGCTAATCAACTACCACTCGACCGGGTGGATACTTAAGGTAAAGATAAATAACTAAGCATGGTGGTACCCGGTATGACAAGTTGGTTATTTATCAGATGAACTTCTACAAATGGGTGCAGATCAAGAGGACACAGAGCTGGGCAGAATTTCCGCTCCGTAATTTTTGGGGCTTTTCAACTCAACATGTGGTTCAGAAGTAAAGCAGATCCGTAGCAAAAACAATAATATCTGTGAAGATGTCACAGATATAGTGTTTAACGCTATCGTCTGATATCATCGCTCATAGCAATACCCAATGACCAATCGATTGAAAGATATATCTGGATGATAGAAGGGGTTGAAAAGTCTAGTTACAATCAGATCTGCAAGTTTCCTTCCTACAGCTTGAAATGTCTTTTTTGAATCTCTCAACCGATAAATTAAACATTATATGAGACGAGGTGGCTCACCGCAAAAATAAATGTAGTTGGAATCTCAGGACATCATTAGGAAAAGAGGGGAAGGTGCTCTACGTAAAGTGCACCGAATCGACTAGGCCCCTTACTTAATCGGCTCACATCATTCGCTATCGCGAAAGTACTCAGAAAATGTAGTAAAACGTCGTACGTGTACTTCCAATGAGAAAGTGCAAATTTATAGTCTAGTTTTGTATTAGTACATTTATCTTTCACTATAATAATAGACCTAATCCTAAAATTACGGATTTGTCACGGCCTAAACACCTAATATACAAGATCATACGCAAAAGTCACATTTTCTATACTGACTAGTCCTACTTGATAATCATCACTGTGACATTTAGTACTTCCACAGAACATATTTCGACTGATGGTAAAATAATATGTTTAATGTGAGTAGGGGCAATTTACACAGTGTGACAACGTCCGCAAGGATGAGTTATGCCGTACTGATCAACAATTTCCTAGATTACCATTTTTGATCTCCTCCAAGTGTTATTCCTTAAATATAAATTTTTTAAATAATTACATTGCCAGCTTCAAAGATCATGTGGTCAGGAACCGATACAACTATAAAACCAATACTTGTGACTGAGAACGGTGTATCACTGCAAATGCCACGACGCGAAGTAAGAACAATTAGACTGGTACAAGTGAACATTTGTTGACTTCAAAACATGACGACCTGAGTAGAAAATATGTAGTGGCATTGGACCATAACCACAAAATCCTCAAAGCTGAATATGAGACTGTAGTGGCATTGGACCATAACCACACAATCCTCAAAGCTGAATACGAGATTACTCGGAAAATAGATATTCAATATTTAACGCGAAGAAATACCTAACGATGGATAAGGCGCGAACAATGAATTGAAGGAATTGGAGTTGATCGAATGGCGTGGCTTGGCCATGCAGGCGTGGTCCCTCTGAATGTTACCTTATATCTTCTATTCATACCAAATATATTGTTCCTTCTCTAGCCTTACCTTGTTCCACATCATGTATTGGTAATTGATACGATACAGTGAGTTGGCGTAGTCGATGGCGTGACTTCCACATAAGATCTTATAGATTAGGCAGTTATATCATAACAAATCTACAAATTTAGGATTAGGTCTATTATTAGAGCAGCACTAATATTATAGTAGACCATAATTCTACATTGGTGAGCCCAACTAAAGAAACGCAACCTATTATTGTTAATCCTTATTTCCACCTTAACCTTCTCAATCGGTTTTTATTTTTGTAAACCCAGTATTCGCATAGTCCTTTGAATAATGGTCACATATATTATCGTAATGTTATATTGATTAGTTCACATAACTTACTAACTCAATCGATAATAAAAGTTGATCATCTATATCAACTTATTAGCTTTGATGTTTCGTTAACAAGCTTTAATAGCATTTACATGCTTCAGCGACATAGTCTTGTCTAAACATCAAGCTCTAGCAAATATGACCTGTAAATAACGTAAATATACATTGACTAACAATGCAATCAAGGACTAATTAGTTATCTGGATCTAATTCTCAGTGTTCCTTCACTTAACACCTCATCCTGTTTCAAACTATGCACTATCCTGTAATATCTTTTCTTCCGACCACTGCCTGCCTAATTTCATATTCTCGAGTTCCATTGCCAAACAACAAAGAATCACTTCTCCAAAAACATACTGTGATTTCCATCTGTAATCATTTTAGATGGCTCGTTCAATGACAACGACATGATTATCTGGATTCATTCGATTATTCTGATCCGAGCGAGTAGCAAATATGTAAACAGCATCAAGCACCCTGAAATTAATTGCCATACTGCATGTTTTATTCTGGATACTTTTGTATCATTACTACTCACGAATGGCGTTATATATGTCGTCCACTGAAAAATCAAATTTTCAAAATTACCCAAGGCGAGTTCAACTGTTTTACTGGATGATTTTTTTCGTACTTAACATGTATATGTTTTCCAGGTGCTTTTGCCATATATTTGTAAGTGTCCCTGGGCTAAATGCAGTAACTTCTAATGGAATGTTTATAACGCATCATATTCCTGCCTGGAGTTTCATAAGCAGTCTTAGCTTGAAAATTATTTTCTGGTCATGTTCATTATTTCTAAATTGCCATATACGTCAACAACCTGCATGTTACCCTGGCCCGTACATGCGTTGCACTATATCTTCATGTCTTCTAAATTTAGAAATCATCTGAATCGCCTTTAACATTTATCAATAAAGCCATCATGGTCGTTGTTGCTAATCGTATTTGGGTTTATAGATTGGTTTATCATATTAGCAGCCTAAAATGCGAACATAGTTTAGATAATAAGATTAAAAATTTAGGTACTATCAACTGCACTAGTAAAATAACTAAATCCCTAGGTAGCTGTTGGCTAAACAAACGTTTAAAATCAAAACTCCGTAACCTACTAGAATTAACACTAAACGAATATTTCTGAATTGAAATTTATAATTAAATTAGGCGTCTCGAATTCTGTGACATTACAAATTTCTGATAATTTTGAATCACCTAAAGCAACAATACCTATTTTTCCACGGACTAATCCTCAATCAACATTATAACTAGTTAAACTTAATAGTTTCAGGATATCGTCATAAAGCATTGTCATGACTTGACAATCACGTAATATGATTGATAAAATTAATGAAACTATTAACAAAATAGGTCAGCAAATTGACTTATGATTATCACTAGTGTTGTTTTTCTTTTAACTTCATTCACTACGGATGATTACAGTATGTTTCTCTATCAATTGCTCATTCAGTAAATATCTCAAAACCTTGTCAGTCTAATTGATGGTTTAGCGACACAATCATGCATGCAAATAATCAGTTTAAGCAGTCGAGCAAATCTCCCGCAAACTGAAAACATCAATGTCGAATTTACCCCAACACTGACTAAGGTTCAAGCCATTATCATAGACATGAGTTGCGAGTGTACTCCTCCTGGTTACGACTTATGTTCTCCCTGTTAATCACATGAGCATCACTCACTATTAATCATCTTGTAAAAACTTATTTAGCTAAATACATCTTGCAGCACAACATCACTTAGTAATATGACACATGGGCTTAGCTGATTTTAATAACTTATAACCACTATATCTCAATTAAATCGTATTCTGCCTGCATACGTGCAACTAACTTGTATGTCCAATAAGCCGGCAAGTATAAATATAAATAACTAGTCTGCCACAGATCAGAACATTGAGTCTAGAGCATGTCTCTTACGAATACACTCATGTTTAACGATTCGTTCCTAACTATCTGTCCAAAATTCATATAATCATCACTCACGTATTTAAATTGTTTTGATAACCATTCATGTGTATTAGTAGTATTAATAAATTCTATCACGGTCAAGTAAAAATGAGGTTGAGAAAATCTCCCCGTAACTAAATAAACCGTATCAAACTAACTGGAACACTAGTTGGAATTCTTCTCCACGGTAATACTTTTGTTCCTTCAGTTAGCCTACTAATACAGATGCATTTGGAATTCAACTCATATGGACAACTTACCAGCATAATTGTAAATTGATTTTACAATTTAAACCAAAACTAATACCAATATTTACATCTCTACAATATTCATAACTTTAATATTTCTAAACACAAAATACTTACTACCTATACGTTAAGTTATTAACCAACGGCTATTAACACGCATCGTTTTATTATTATTATTGTAATCTCATTTTTTATAGCTCAAATAATCTTCACCCAAATTTTCATTTTAAGCGTGTTAAACATGAAGGCAGATATTTTAAAATTATTACATGCATTTCCCGACCAGATGCTGCCGCTTTCTTTTTGATTTATCTTTCAGCTTATCATTACCTGGGGGATTCCTCCTAGTCTTGGTAACCTTCGGCACACTACAGTCCCATCCAATTCGATATCGAACCAACACCACGTTGATTCTGGTGGGAGAGTAGTGTAGTGGCATTGGACCATAACCACACAATCCTCAAAGCTGAATACGAGATTACTCGGAAAATAGATATTCAATATTTAACGCG